TAAAGTTGTTGAGAGATCATGATGGAATCAAAAGAGATTAAGACTCAGAGAAGATGAGCTTTGAGAGGGGTAAAGGGAGGAAAGCAGAAGCTGGGTCTTGACTCAATTACCAAATGAACAAGGAATCATTTGACGAAATTCTGGAGAGATCAGAGAGAGAAAGTAAAGATTAACTCTGACTACTTTATAGTTTTTTAAAAATGACCTTCTTTATTTTCTTTATTCTGAGTTCTGGACTCTATAATCAGCCAACTCCAGAACAAGCATGTCAGCATGTTGTGTGTATTGGGAAAGAAACTTGTTGGGAGACAATTTTCTGTGAGTTTCTGTAGTTTCTATACATCTTGTAAGCAGAGGCACTGAGTATCTTTGCTCTGAAATATCTTTTCGAGAATGTTTGTATAGTGAACAGCCTTGGAAAATGGAGATAGTCCCTCTCTCTCCAGGCAAAGGGCAGAATTTTTACTGCTATTACAAAAGATTCAGGTTCCCTAAGTTCAGGTTCCTCTTCTGTAACAAAACTCCCTGTGTGAATGGTGTCCACCTGGCCCTTTTCTCTTCACCCTGAGAGAATTGGGTATCAAGAAGCTAACAACTGTTGATAGTGTAGCTGCTACTATTGGTGTAGGTACTAAGGGAGATTTCAGTATCATATAAAGGAATTACTGTTGTCTTCCCCATCCCTTCTTTCTCTTCCTCACTCAGGCTACTACCTAGAAATAATAACTTTTCTTCTCTCTTCTTAATCTCCTCCTTGCCCTCACCTCACCCCAGTTCCTGCATAATTTCAGCCCCATGCCCCATTTCAACAAGAACACAGACTGTACCTTTGACCTCCCAAACAGCAAATGGGCCCATTTGTGATCCTGGACTGGGAAAAGGAACCTCACAAGGGAGTCCCTCCTTTTTGACTTTTTCTCTTCCTTTCTGGCTTTCCAAAGCATTCCTATTTAGTGACTTCCCAATGGCTATGGACTTAGAAGGTCTCCATTTGCTACCCTTTTGCTATCTTCCTTTTCTGCCCTAATCCATCTCTCTGTTGTCTTTGGTCTTTTCTAAGCCTTCCTGAGTCCTCTTTCATGAATGGGGAGTGTATCCCAGCACCTGGCCCAGACCCTGGCTCATGGCAGACACCCAGTCACTCTAAATTCCCAAACTCTTGTGCTCTACCCTTCTCCTTTTCTGGACCATCCTAACCTTTCTCTCCTACACTATCTGCATCTCTTTTCACTCTTAAAGTACTTCAAGGGAGAATCTAGAAGATAAAAATAAAAGCAAAAACTGAAACACATTAAACACAACACAACTTTATTTTCAAGATGAACAATAAAAATACAGAATGTGTGTATTTTTTGTAAATGATTTTCTATGGATGATAGTGGTAATCTAATAAATGTTTATAGGACAAACAATTGTGGTTTCACAGCCTTCTACTCCTTGAGCATTTAAACATTTCTACAAAGCAATTTCTGTCACCTACATCCAGCACAAGGGTAGTTTTGGATGATTAAGTTTGGACCTGTTGTACAGCATTTGGGGACTGATATAAACGCATTGCTCTGGTAAAACGATCTTTTTCAGCTAGTGTGGTTGTTGAAGTATGAGTCAGTTGGGGGAGCCTGGGGGAAAAGACTGGGAAATACCTGGATGCCTGTGCATGTGGCAAGCTCTTGGGGGAAGGGAAGAGGGAGGATACAGACTCGGTATGCCCAGACAACTTTCTCAACATCAGATAGCAGGTTCATGGGGTCTCTGGACCCAGCCCACCTAGGGATCAGGAATTAGAAACAGGGAGCATCATTTTTAAAAAAAAACAAAATCCACATTGGGAAGTTTTGTAATTGTATAAATTACGTGTGAACATTGTAAAGACATTAGAAGATATAACAAGGAAATTAATAAATAAAATTATGCATTTATTTTGCTACTCAGGTGTAATCACTGTTAACATTTGGACAATAGTTTTATTTTCAATGTGTATGTATATTTTACACACATATGTACACCACATAAGTGGGGGGCATATTATACATTCTCTCATAGATTCTTTTCTATTTTACTTACATTGTCCTATGGCCAAAATTACGTATCAGCAGCATAGTTTTCTTTTATGTCACTGTCCCAACCACCTCACTAGATAGGTGTTATTATTTTCCCCTCTTTTTTTTAATTTTTTTTTTTTGAGACAAGATCTTGTTCTATTGCCCAGGTTGGAATGAAGTGGCATGATCACAGCTCCCTGTAACCTTAAGCTCCTGACTCAAGTGATCTTCCTACCTTAGCCTCCCAAGTAGGGAGTACTATAGGTGCATGCCACCATGCCCCAGCTACTGCAGCATAGTTTTAAATGGCTACATGGTATTCCGTTGTGTCGATAGTTTTTAAGTTATAATAGCTACTGCCTATTTTATCCATTTTGGTTGTTTTCAAGTTTTAATTTTTTACTGTCATAAACAATGCCATAAGAAAAGCAAATTTAAACTACAATGAGATATCATCATATACCAGTTAGAATGGCTATTACTAAAAAGGAAAAAAAAAAAACAGATGTTGGCAAGGATATGGAGCAAAGGGAACGTTTATACACTGTTGGGAATATAAATTAGCACAATCTCTATGGAAAATAGTATGGAGATTTCTCAAAGAACTACAAATAGTAATACTATTTGTTCCAGCAATCTCTCTACTGGGTAGCTACACAAAGGAAAAGAAATCATTATATCAAAAAGATACATGCACTCATATGTTCGTCGCAGCACTATTCACAATAACAAAGATATGGAATCAATCTAAGTGTTAATCAATGGATGGTTGGATAAAGAAAATATGGTATATGTACACAATGAGATACAATTCAGCCATAAAGAGGAATGAAATCATATCTTTTGCAGCAGCATGGATGGAACTGAAGGCCATTATCTTAAGTGAAACAACTCAGACACAGAAAGATAAATATCATATGTTCTCACTTATAAGTGCAAGCTAAAAATGTGTACACATAAACATAAAATATAAAATGATAGACAGTGGAAACTCTGGAGGGTGAGGGGTTGAGGGGGAATGGACGATGGAAAAATTACTTAATGGATACAATGTACATTATTTGGGTTATGGATACACTAAATACCCAGACTTCACCACCACACAATATAGCCATGTAACAAAATTGCACTCATATCCCTTAAATTTATACAAGAATAATAATAATAATAACCCAAAGCTGTAATGCACATCCTTATCTTACTTCTTTGAACACTTGTCTGACTATATTCTTGACAAAAATTTCTAGAAAAGGAATTTTAAGCCAAACAGCATGCATATGCTTAGAGCTTAGATATGTATTACAACCATGCCCTCCAGAAAGTTTCAATCAATTTTTAGTCCCACCAGCAGTCAGATTGGGTTTTTGAACAAAGTTCAAGCTCCATTCTAAGAAGGAGTGTGAGAATTACTTTCTGCTGAAAATCACAAGATGGCTTGAAATATGGGCAGAATGAGAAATACTGTTGTTCATACAAGGCTCTTCTTTAATGCTGTGACCTGAGTCACTTCTACCATAAAGAAAAGAGTATCCTGGTGTAGGTGGATGTAATATACATTGATCATGAGAACAACAAAAGACCAAGAGTTTTCAAACTCTTGGAGAGATAAACTCAGTACAAGAATACTATGTCAGAAAAGTAAGTTAGCAAAAGCAAGTGTATCACTTTTTAAAAAATTACTACTACATAACAAATTACCACAAACTTAGTGATTTAAAACAACACACATTTATTATGTCACAGTTTCCAGCACAGCTAATCTGGCTCCTCTAAAAGGCTGCAATAAAGGTGTCATACAGGGCTAGGTTCTCATCTGGAGGTTCAACTGGGGAATGGTGAGCTTCCAAGCTTATTTAGTTTATTTATTTAGTTGTTATTCATTTTCTTGCAGCTATACAACTCATGGGAACTTGATTCCTCAAACTTGTCAAGGAAAGCAAGACACTATAGCATATTTGCTAACAAGGCAGTCTTACGTAATGTAACGTGATTAGAGGAGTGATATCCCACCAGTTTTGCCATATTTTATTGGTTAGGAGCAAGTCACAGGGTCTAACTATGCTCAAAGAGAGGGAATTATACAATTATACAAGGATGTAAATTCCAGGAGACAAGGATCATGAGGCTACTTAAAGTCTGTTCATCATAGTAAACAACTCTGAAATCTCTCTCCTTAGAATGCTTTCCACGTGAGTAATCAAGGAAGTTGAAAACTTGGGAAAACGTAAAATCCAAAACTCATTGACTAAAAAATATTTATTCTAGGTCTCTCATTTCAAGTGGCGGTAGATAACACAGCATTCTATAAATAAAAAGTGACCTATGATAAATGTGGTATTTTCAAAGGTGTACAGAGGAGCATGTGTTTTGTTTTTTGGGGAATTCACTTCCACATCCCTGTGACTAAGATATTTTCTCCCAACCTTGTCTTGTGGAATGAGGTGGCGTATTCCCAAACCCATGTTGTGATGACCACAGTTGAGACATTTTCCATATGAGAAACTGTGCTAGCTATTCTTATGTCTCTAATTACTATGTCTCCCCAAGACCTAGCCATACGTCTCCACGGCCTTTTAAAAAATACAAAGGGAGCCAGGCAGTTAAAAATATTCTTTTAAAAAAGTAATATGAATCATGTTATTCAAAAGGAACTCTAAAGGAAGTCCCTACTGATATCCACATTTTTCTCTTTTTAAACCTCTAAGGAAAGTTCATGGTCTGTATTTCATACATTCCTCTTTAATCCACTTAATTATGGCCTGAGTTGTAAAGTGGCTGTAATATATTTTCTTAGAAGAACATTGTGCATTTGATGCACTTTCATATTACAGTTCGTAATTAACATTATTTGACATTGCATCACACACTTGGAGGGGAGAGAAGAGAAGGGAAGAAGATTCCTCTTTCAGTATTTAATCTTTAGTCCCCTTCTCATCTTCCAACTGATTTCCTTCCTAGACCTTCAGTCAGAGGAAAGCAAACTATGATGGTCCGTGAATGAGTAATAGATGACCGAGAAGGAGTGTGAGCTTCTCATTCAATGAATACTGCAGAGGTTTCTGAAGACTTGAGCTCTATGTATCTGCTTCATCAATTACATTATTCCTTCAAAGGAAACAAAAAAGGTAATTTTTTAGTCACAGTGAAGATGGTGGTGGTTGGATAAAAATGTTTCCTGGGTGGTGGCCAGAGCTTGTCTTCTTCTTCTTCCTGCTTAACTTCCGCCCCTGCCCCAACCCTCGACCCACCCATTCTCTAAGGCAAGGAAGCTGCCTGGCAGTCAGATTAGCCTGAGAAACCCTGAAAGGAAGTAGAGAAATTACATTCTCCAGGGGGCTGTCAGTGCAGAGTGGACCTGGCCGGAAACAGTGTTTTGGGTGTTGTGCTCTTCTTGGACAGGAGAGATGAAAGAGGAACTAAGGAGGGGAAACAATGTGCTTGGATTAAAGGGTCTTGGACTGGGAATGGGGTATGAGAGCTGCAGAATAAGGCAGGGGCAGGTTGGACCTTCTAGTAACAATTGCTTGAGACTTTACACTTGGGCCCCTTTAGATGTTAGAGGGTGTTATTGTTGAAGACTGGTGTTCCCATTTAGCCTGGGCTTATTTAAGTGTTCTATCATTCTGACCCCTTATAAGCATGTGTTAGTTTCCCAGGGCTGCTGTACCAAGTTCCACAACCTAAGTGCCTTAAAACAACAGAAATTTATCATCTCAAATTTCTGGGGACTAGAAATCTGCAATCATCCACCCTCTGAAACTAGGGAAATCCTTCTTTGCCTCTTCCTAGCTTCTGGAGGTGGCTGGCATTCCTTGGCTTGTAGATACACCACTGCATTCTCTGCCTTTATCATCACATGCATTGTGTGTGTATGTGTACTTTTGGGTGTGTCTATGTAGGTGCATGCATGTGTGTTTTCTCCTCTTTTTTTTTTTTTTGAGATGGAGTCTCGCTTTGTCACCCAGGCTGGAGTGCAGTGGCACGATCTCGGCTCACTGCAAGCTCTGCCTCCCGGGTTCACATCATTCTCCTGCCTCAGCCTCCCAAGTAGCTGGGACTACAGGCACCCTCCACCACACCCGGCTAATTTTTTGTATTTTTAGTAGAGACAAGATTTCAGAGTGTTAGCCAGGATGGTCTCGATCTCCTGACCTTGTGATCCACCCACCTCGGCCTCCCAAAGTGCTGGGATTATAGGGATGAGCCACCACACCCAGCCCTTCTCTTATAACAAGGACACTAGTCATATGGAATTTAGGGAGTACTAACCCAGTATGACCTCATCTTAACTAATGGAAACTGCAAAGACCCTATTTCCAAATAACATCACATTCTGAGATTCCTAGTGAACATAAATTTTGGAAGGATACTCTTCAACCCAGTACAAAGCAGAACATATATACACACACAATTAAAACTACTAGCCAATTAACTTGAGTTTTGATGCTCTAATGAGTTAGAGTTGGAAAGAAAGCCAGTAGTACTCCACTTGGGAAAGGAACTGAGCTGAAATTTTCAACGGCTCTAGGTTTTTCCAAGCCAGGAGACCTCACCTTGAGCAATGTGCTCTACTTTCTGCTGATTCTGTTCTCCAACCACCTCTTTCCTACACATCCTACACACACTCACGCTCCACCGCTAACAAGGAGAAGCAAGACTTTGATGATCATCTACATCTTTATCTCCAGCACCCATAGACAAAGCATTTTGCTTGCCCTGTTTTGAAGCAGCAGGTCACTGGCCCCTTCAGTGTCCAGCATCACAGAGGTAAGGTTGGCCAGAAGCAATGTTGGGGGACTAGAAGACCAGGGGCTCCTGGGCTACCTTGCTGTAGGAGCCCAGGAAGGTGAAAAGAGTACAATGATGCTGGAATACAACTCCAGGAGTTGAAAACTCCCCACTCCCCTTAGTTAAGGAAGACTTACAAGAAACTAATTTACCAAGTGCCAGAAGATGTTTACGGCCATATTTTGCCCAGCCAAGTGGTCTGCATGATTCAGGACAGGTAGAGTTCAGTCTCAGACTTACTCACACTAGGCTCAGATGTGCAAAGAAAATGTAGCATCTTAACTCTCTATAATTTTATGGTCTTTAAATGTTTCCTAACCCCCACACCACTGACTAATGAGAGATTCTGGTAAACTGAATTTTAGACCAATCTGGTAGACTCAGGCTATTCCAGTAAGCAGTCTTTTCTGAGTGAGTCAGTTTTTCCAATTTGCAGTATTCTTCCTGGTTCTCTCTAAGATGGTATCTGGGAATGTGGAAGGAAGGTACTTTGGGCCAGTGGGGGAGAGGGAGGCCCCTCGAATTGTGCTAGTCCATAGCTGTGAGCTAGCTGGCATTTGTGGGGGTGATTGGACTGCTATTGACACAGGCTGCTTAGAGGAAGTGTCCTGCTGACGTACGCAGCTAGGGCAACTGTGGTCTGTTTTCTCCTGGCTTGGACAGGGTTCAAGATCCTCCCGGCTGACTCAGCCCCACCTCAGCCCTCTCGGGAACTCTGGACTCTCTGGGATTCCTTTTCAGGCCCCAGCTTGGTGGACAGATCCACAACATACCCTAGCATGGCCATTCTTCCCTGTAGGGCCGGGGCACAGGTATAGCAGGCCTCCTGAGAGCAGAGCCTGTGACTCCATTTGTCCCAGTCTGAGTTTCTTCACCCTGTCTTTGATATTCTTAGTTACATCCTCCGGTCTGGACCAAGATAGGAGCCTGAGAAGGATGCAAAGGAGGTACAGCATTGCTGGACTGCCTTGGCTGGCTCTACTCTCAGAATCATGGGAGAGGTCAGAGACTGGAGATGGAGTAAAGGTTTAGATGAAAAAGGAAAGCAGCAAGAATCTTAAGAGAAAGTCACTTTGTCCCCACCCCATCCCTAGTATTACTGTTTGAATATGTACTCCGTAATATTGGGCATGGAGAAGAGACAAATTATGGCAGTAAAAAGACAAATCAGAAATTAAGCACTGAACTCCAGAATATGATGGGCATATTCTGAATCTGTACTGCCCACCATGGCAGCCACTAGCCACATGTGGTTATTGAGCATTGGAAACCCCCCCCCCGTCACATATATTGCGACTGGTGTTACTCAAGATTGAAATTTTGAATTTTATTTAATTTTAATTAATTTAAAGTTAAATTTAAATAACTGCATGCGGGCTGGGTATGGTGGTTCATGCCTATAATCCCAGTGCTTTGGGAAGCCAAGTTGGGAGGATCTCTTGAGACCAGAAGTTCAAGAGCAGCCTGGGCAACATGGCAAAACCTCATCTCTACAAAAAATACAAAAAGCTAGCCTGGTGTGGTTGCGTGTGCCTGTGGTCCCAGCTAGGAGGCTGAGACAAGAGGATTGCTTGAGCCCAGGAGTTCAAGGCTGCAGTGAGCTATGATCATGCCACCTGCACTCCAACTTGGGTGATTGATTTATATGGATTCTATGATTTATATTGATAATAAAGTCATGTAGTGAGACCTTGTCTTTAAAATAATAATAATAATAACTTTTTAAAGGACATGTGGATAGTGGCTACCATATTTGACAGTTCGGTTCTATACATTAACCTTTTACGTGCCCTGTTTTGGTGATCTAGTAAGGCCCACAGACACCTCCTCAGATTGTGAGATTTTAAATTATTATTATTATTATTTTGCGGGGAGGAGGTCTCACTCTGCCACCCAGGTTGGAGTGCAGTGGTGCAATCACGGCTCACTGAAACCACTGCCTCCCAGGCTCATGCAATCCTCTCATCTCAGCCTCCTAGCTGGGACCACAGGCACACACAACCACACCAGGCTAGCTTTTTGTATTTTTTGTAGAGATGAGGTTTTGCCATGTTGCCCAGGCTGCTCTTGAACTCCTGATGCTACGCAATCTACCTTGGCCTCCCAAAGTACTGGGATTACAAGCATGAGCCACTGCACCCAGCCAGATCAATGTTTTTAAGTGCATAAAATAAAATATATAGGATTACAATGGAAATCAATTAATTTACTATTCGTGTTATTCTTTAGTTTTTAATTAGATTTTTAAAATTAATTAGAAAGTTCATATGGTATAGTACTCTATGTTGTTCTTTATTAACGTATTAAATATCAATCTATCTGTGAACCTAATAACTATCACAGTTTTGAAGTAGCAATGAATATAAATGGTATCTTGACATATCTGATGCATATCATGATGTAATGTGAAAATGCCTATGATTGACATTGATAATAAAGTTATGTGTACTGGTAATACTATTGTGTTTTAGGTTCAGTTAGGAATTAGTGAAATAAACTTGTGATTTTTTTTTTTCCCCCATCTACGTTCACAAGGTCCCTGGATTCTCTTCACAGATTGGGGGTACATGGACCCAGGTTAAAAAGCCCCACTCTAGATTTTTGTAAATAAGACAGGTTGATGAATAAAGTTAATTCCTTCTAGAAATATGTATGGAATGCCTACTACATGCCAGGTACTGATCTAGACACTTGGGCTGCAGCATGAATAAGAGAGACAAAGTTGGAGTTTTCAAAAAGTTCGTATTTTAGTGGAGGAGGACAATAAATCAACATTCAGTAGTTTCAAATGGTAGTAAATGCTGTGAAGAAAATATAATAGAGAGATCTAATAGAAAGTAACTGGAGAGAAAGTGGCAATTTTAAATTGGGTGATGAGCAAGGCCTCTCCAGGAGGCCATTTGAGTTGAGGCTTGATTGAAAGATGGAGCCAGCCTCGCACAATCTGGAGGCAGCACCTTCTGAGAACAGAAGGCCCTGTAGCTAAAGACCCTGTAGCTAAAAGGGGTGGGTGTGATTGGAACAGGATAATGGACAGAGGGAGCACTGTAGAAGATTGAGGTCAGAGAGGTGGGATGGGGTGGCAGGGGGAGGCCAGGTCAGGGCTGGAGCACTGAGTTTGTAAGTAGTCATCATAGACAGCTGAGAATTTAGATTCTATTCTAAATCCACTTAGAGTCAAAGGTGGATTACATGACGCTCTTGGTAAAGGATGGATTAAATGGGGAAGTGGAAGCAGGGAGTTCATGCAGAGCCTGATGTAGTAGTGCAAGTGTGATAGTGGCTGGTAACTCAGGAGGGCAAAATGCAGAAGGAGAAAAGTGAATGAATT